TGCTGTGCCTTGGACGACCGTCACGGATAGCGGCCGCGGTAAGAGACCACCCCTTGCGCACCCCCTACGCTGTCGAGAATATGCCATGCCTGCTGTGCCTTGGGCGACCGTCACGGATAGCGGCCGCGGTGAGAGACCACCCCCTGCGCACCCCCTATGGTGCCGAGAATATGCAATGCGTGCTGTGCATGGGCGACCGTCACGGATAGCGGCCGCGGTGAGGGACCCCCCCCCGCGCACCCCCTATGGTGTCGAGAATATGCCATGCCTGCTGTGCCCTGGACGACCGTCACGGATAGCGGCCGCGGTGAGAGACCACCCATTGCGCACCCCTATGGCGTCGAGAATATGCCATGCCTGCTGTGCCCTGGACGACCGTCACGGATAGCAGCCGCGGTGAGAGACCACCCCTTACGCACCACCCACGCTGTTGTGCATGTGCTGTGCTGTGCTGTGCTGCGCTGCGCTGTGCTGTGCTGTGTTGTGCTGTGCTGTGCTGCGCTGTGTAAGAAGGAGGGAGAGGGGAGGTGAGGAGACGTGGGTGCGCCGCGGCAGGGAAGAAGCCCAGAACCCCACGAAACATGTGGGGAAAACTTGCCACGCCTCCTGTGCCGTGGACGACCCTTATTGCGTCGAGGATGTGCCGCACGTGCCAAGCCGTGTGCGTGTGTGTGTGTGTGTGTGTGTGTGTGTGTGTGTGTGTGTGTTGTGCTGTGCTGTGCTGTGCTGTGCTGTGCTGTGCTGTGCTGTGCTGTGCTGTGCTGTGCTGTGTGCGCTGCGCTGTGATGTGCTGTGCTGTGCTGTGCTGCGCTGCGCTGCGCTGTGCTGTGTGCGTGAGGAGGAGGGGGAGGAGGAGGAGGAGGGGAGGAGGGCGGGTGTGGGTGAGACGCGGGTGCGGCGCGGGTGGGAAGAACACCAGAACCCCACGAAGCATGTGGGGAATAATGATGGCATTGGTGTTGATGTCGATGATGTGAATTCTCAGGGTGCTACGGATGATGCAGTTGGTGAGGACGGCGATGGTGATGGTGGTGTTGTTGATGATGAGGATGGTGATGATTTTGATGATGATAATGATGATGATGATGCTGATGCTGGTGCTGACGCTGATGCTGATGATGATGATGATGATGATGATGATGATGATGATGGTGGTGGTGGTGGTGGTGATGATGATGATGATGATGATGATGATGATGATGATGATGATGATGATGATGATGATGATGATGATGATGATGATGATGATGATGATGATGATGATGATGATGATGATGCCGTTGACCATGGTGATGGTGGTGGGGGTGTTGATGACGACGGTTCTGATGAAGACGATGAAGACGAAGAGGTAGGCCATCATACGTTGCGTCGACCGTGTCGACATCTTGTGCAGCTGGCTGTTTTTGGCTGTTGTGAGGAGGGAGGAAGAGCATGGGTGAGGGAGGACGAGGGAGGAGGGAGGAAGGAGAAGGTAAGAGGTAGGGGGGAGGAGGGAGGAGGGAGGAGGGAGAAAGGAGGAGGGGAGGAGGGGGGGAGGGAGGGATGAGGGAGGAGGGAGAGGTGAAGGAGGAGGAGCAGAGAGGAAGGAGCATGAGGGAGGAGGAGGAGGAGGAGGAGGAGGAGTGAAGTAAAGTGATGTGAAGTGAAGTGAAGCACCCCAGAAGCGAACGAGTCTCCTCGAGCCCCAGGCCGCCCTGTCGGCAGCGGGTGGGCACCAACAGACAGGGACAGATTCGGCGCGGGCTCCCCTGTGGAGTCTTACCGCGGCGATGACAAACGGCGAGAGACGTACCCGACACGCGCGCCAGGGGAGCAGACAACGACGGAAAACCTCTCTACAAGCCCGTAGGCGAGAGACGGGCCGCGCGCGCCACGTGCGCCAGGAGGCAGCAGCTAAGCCGGTAAACCGCTCTACAAGCCCGTTCTGACATTCCGAGGCCTCAGATAACGACACGCCGCGCGTGCCGCCCCGATCAACCACCAGAGGGGCACCACTCCCTCGGTGACAGCCCGCCCCCACGCACGCTACGGCGGGGGATCGTGACAGTGGGAACAATGGACGGGGATCCTCCGATGAACCCCCCCCGCATAGGGGACCCGCGACACCACCCATACCCCAGTGGAGAAGGGTGTCGCAGCAAAACGTGGCAGACCCACAACCCAGGCACGGAACACGGAAGGAAAAGCCGCGCACTGAAGCCTTGGACTGCCCCCGCCCGCCACAACGAGACAGGCACAGCCCCGAGACCCCAGGCGCGACCCTTCCCCCGCGGCGCAGGCTGGGACGGCATACGTCTACCTTTTTTTCCCAGCCCTCCAGTGTTGGTCTCTCGTTTTGAATAGAGCAGTGTGGTCTCCACCCTCCTTCTCCCGCCTCCCCTCGCTCCTGCCTTCTGTGCTCTCCTGCCGTTCCTGATTCCTGCCTCGCGGTCTTGTCTTCTGTTGGGTGGCCTTGCCTAGGGGTTGCGATTTCTATAGGGGGCTGCGCTCTGCGCAACTGTCGCCACTTTCTTCTGCTCCTGGGAGGCCCAGCGGAGGTACGCCATACGCGGACCTCCTCGGGACCTC